AAATGGATCACAGGACACTGAGAAAGAACCCTTGGTAGGGGAACAAGGTCACTTCAACTCAAACTCAAAACCAAACAGAAAAAAAAAATGAGCCGGTGGCATCCTGCAGTGGTCCAGCCAAGAGGAAAATTACCTGGGAACGCGTGTTTCCAGAGACTAGCATCCAATTATCCATCTTCTACCAACAGCATCCCAGTGTCAAACATGACCCTCATCCAGCCAATCAGCTCCTTCCAAGCCCCCAAGGTCATACTGAATAGTTCAGAAAGGACAAATGCCCCCATCATGAATGAGACTCATCGTTAAGGAGCCTTTCTAGAACTTCCTAGTTTTAGAAGACTACAATCGCACTATGTGGCAGGCATGACCCTAAAAACAACCCCTAGCATCTCTGTACCCTGGTCATGCACACACTAATCTATGCACTGCTATAAAGGGATTTTCCCCCCTGAGGTAACTGAGCTCTAACTGAGCTGGTCAAAGATACAGTCGTTATTTGTGTGTGCCTAGTCAAATCAAGTAAGAACTTTACAAGCCCTCAATCTTCCAGCTGGTGGCAAGATAGCCTCATCGAAGGAATTGGGAGCACAGGCAGATGTCAGTGCTATAGCTGACTGGAGGATGAAAAGGGCCCCCTTAGCAAGTGTGGCAGACTCGGGAATCCAAACACTAAGCCCAGCTGCCAAGCAGCGAAGGGGCAGAGACGACAGCCTTGTGACAGGAAGCTGAGTTAAGGCAGCTATGTGAAGGATCTTGCACATGGGCCCTACTCCAGATGAGAACTCAGCCTGGCAATTTCTCCTTCGTGAGAGCCTGAGCAGAGCAACTCCCCCTGCTTCATACAATGGGGGTTAATCCATGAGGATCTGAAGCCACTACGCTCTTGGTAAATCACCAATAATAGTAATAGAAAACTTAACTGGGCGTGGTGGCGCTTGGGGAGGCAAAGGCAGGCAGATCTCTGAGTTTGAAGCCAGCCTGGTCTATGAAGAAAGCTCTAGGACAGCCAGAGCTACTTAGAGAAACCCTGACTAGGGGAAAAAAGTAGTCATAGAAAATTCACATGTACTGAGATGACTGGACATCAGAATAATACGTCAGTAGGGAGGTGCTGGCCAAAAGATAAAGTCAGGATAGGAGAAGAAGCCCAGAGATGGATTTCCATAATGGGTTTCTAATCCCAGGATCTAGCCAAGCATGCAGCCCGTCCCAGGCCCAAATGCTCAGATATGTCATCATTAAAATACTGTTGTTATTAAAGCCTGAAATCGTTGACCTTTTGTCACATGAAAACAATCTCTGATACTTCAAAATATTCGTCAACAGAAACTGAACTAAGACCCAATGTGATAGGCTGGGTGTTCACTTAAACTGAAAAACACAGCTGAGTATTCTAACAGAGGGAACACTTCTCAGCCAGCACAGGAGTCTCCAAGCTTTTCACAGGCTATTTTCTCAGAAGTAAAGCAATTTGGAAGGAGAAAGACATTTCAATCCAACCGTAAAGACAGTCTTCCAAATTTGTGGATTTTTTTGCATCCATGAATTCAACCCACCACAGGTTAACAATATAATTTTGAAACTGTCTATATTTGCTGCACAGAACCCGTTATTACTTTCACAATGCAGGATAACAATTATTTACTCCGGCTGTATCTTGTATCAGGTAATAAGCAATCTAATGACAATATAAAGCACACGAGGAGCCGTGCGGAGGTTGCTCATGAAGACCACACCATTTTACACAAGGGCTTGGTAATCCGTGAATTTTTAATTGGGCAGTGGGGGAGGGGGGGGCTCTGAAACCAATCCCAGAAGGATATCAAGAGATAACTGTATCTTCTCCAGGTCTGCATGGCCTGGTGCCCAAATACCTCTAGCATACATTGTGGGTGCTAATACGCATACATGTCCTCTTCACAGTGTCGCATATAGACACATGCAAAGACCAAAAACAGTACTCCAGTGTCCCACCGCTCCGCTTTTAACAAAATCCAAGTACTGAGGTATTTTTATACCAGAGAAACAAGGCATATAACGCTGAGTTACGACCACCAACATAAGTCAACAGAGACTCAGCAACAGTGCTTCGTGAAGGGAGGAGTAATATTGCGTGTTGATGTTTTTGTGAGGACTTAAAAACATCACCTTCGCACAATTACATAGGCTTAGAGTTAAGCTTTCTATTGACATCAGATCATTGAGTATTGGTTTCATGTTCATCTTTATCTTATCACATAGATGAATTCCGGAAATTACAATGGTATTCTGCTGTTGCTTGCATGTGTAATGTCCCATCCTTGACCTGTCCAGGCTGACAGATCCCAAATGCAAACTAGCTCATATTCTATGATGTGCAGTCCGGGGTTTGGACAAGAGCTGTGACATCTGCCACTCAGTGGGTCACCAGGGTTGATGCAGCTGCTCCAGGGGGCTAGTTGGTTGATCCCCTCTCTTCACCATCACTCTGTGTATTCCTCACCTGGAGCAGCATGCTAAACAAGGAAGTTAACCTAATACTACAGAGAGGGGCCATCTTCTGTCAATAGTACATGAGTATTCTTCTTCTAGAACCAGCTAACCATCTCTCAAAAGCCCAACATGGCATGGTTGCTTGGTGGAGTGGGGTTACCTTAGATTCCTTTATCAACCTGTAAGTTTCCTCGTGGCAACTGAAATCAGAAGTGGAATTTATGAGGAACAGAGAGTGAAAAACCATCCTCATTCTAGCTTTGAAGTGCTTTTTGGATCAGGGATCAATTCATATTATGGACATGACAGAACAGCCCGGACAGGAGATGAAAATGGATGAGAAACACACTGGTTTCTAGTCTGGGTTTCTTAAAGGGTGGGACCAGACAGCTCAGGTGAAAGTTGGACTGTGAGCACTGATTCACAGCCCCAGAGGCACCTGAAGAGCAAAGAATAGAGACTAGAATCCTAGCAAAAGACCCAAAGTGGAAAACAAGAGCCTCTAGACTGGTGGAGAAAGTGAGATTGATCATCCCCCTCCTAGGAATACTTTTCTGTATGTACATCCTACATTCATTAAAACAATATTCCGTGTGTGTGTGTGTGCGTGTGTGCGTGTGTGTGTGTGTACCATAGGATCATCACTTAGAGAAATATAAAAGGGTTCTTTCGTTAAAGAACTGAGTGTTCTGTTAAGTTTAACACACATTTTAGATTTTTCACTCTCTGGGATGTTTCCAGCAGTGAGTGTGGCCACACCATCCCTCACACCAAGGTATTAGCCTTACTTCTGCTGCCCCCACTCCTAACTGCTCTACATTCTCTTTCCATGTCCCAAACTTTCATCACAGCACAACCTGTGTGGAAGAATATGAGCCTACACACACATCCATCGCAGCGCAACCTGCCTGGGAGAACGTGAGCCCGCACACACAGCCGGCCCCATGGACCGGAACAAAACCATGCTGAGCACTCATGTCCTGTGTTCCTACATCAGGCCCAATGGAGCCACCTTAGCCTGCAGTTGGCACAGGTCTCCGCTTGGGCGTCCCAGGCCATGCACCGTTCACGCCGTCTGCAGACGCGATGCAGTGGAGGAGAGCAGGTTTTCAAGCAGAGCTTTCAGCAACGGCTCAAGCCATTTCAGCAGTCCTGTCGCTTCCAGCCTCAAGAATCAGCTTCTCCCAGAGCCTGGGAAGCTCTTCCCCACATCACCCTTCCAGCCATGAGCATCAGAACCATCTGTTGCAGCGTCACATACAGCACAACGGGAGGAGAGCTGTGTGTGCTGATTCGGGTTCATAGATAGCCTGTTTCCATAAAACTCCCAACTCTTTCCGCTGTGAGTCATGCGTAGTCTGAAGGCTGTGCCTGCACACACACAAAATAATAGCCTTCTGCATTCCCGTTTGTGTTATATTTATGATATTTCTCATGGATTTAGGCATTTAAATTGGCTTAACCAGACACCTGGCTTACCTTTAGTCATGGATTTCTATCAAATTCTATAATAATAATGATGATGATGAATTATAACAATATTATATAATAGTATCTATTATTAATATAACATAATTAATATAATATAATTATAATAGTATATTATAATCAATATAATTATAGCAACATTGTATATTATTATTATTCAAGAAAGGAAAAAAAGACCACCTAAATATTTGAATGCCTTTTATGTGGTCAAAAAACTAAGGGGGGGGGAGAGAGACATATCGTCAAAATGCTGAATTAACCATCTGCCTGAAGCTGTTCCTTTCTCTTCTGGGCATCTGAGTATCAGGTCTACTTAGTTTCTCTGCTATGACCTTCATCAGAGACACCACACACCACCCATGGCTCCAAGGGACAAGAGAAACTATATGAGGATTTCAAACCAGGGTCTGAAGCCAAGGCATTCAAAGCAGAAGATACTCGAATTGTATCATACTGATTTCTGATATTACAATTCAATTACCTATTTCAAAGGAACTCTAGAACAAGCTAGCTACCTAACATCCAGTGTAATGAGATGCTATTTAAATTGAAAAATATGGCTCCCATATCTCAAAGTGTATGAAGAAAACATCAGATTTTATTATGCTCAGGGAAATGAAATAGAAAGACCAACTATGTCTGAGGTTGCAAACACCAGTCAGTGGGAAGCAGGGAAAGGGGAATCCAGCTAGAATTCAATTAAGAAAAAAAAAAGCTGTACAAATTTTAATTATCACAGCCCTGGTTATATAACCCCCAAAGCAAAGCCGGAAAGTATAGAAAGAAGAGACAGCTGGACTAGGGTAAGGTTCAAGGTGTGGTGAGCATTCTCAAAAAATGCTATTTTAAGCTTGCTCGCCCCAACACCAGGAAGAACATTGTGTGAAGTAACATCTCATCACCATGATGAAGAAGTTCACTTAAGAGTGACAGGATTGAAAGTTTTCCCTGGAAAGACTTTCTGGTGCTCTGACAGGGAGTAGGCAACGCTGAGACTGGCTGAGACTGATGTTTACATCAGCCACGATGATTCCACCTACCTCATGGAAGTCCTGCTGAGTTCCAAAAGCTTCCTTTGGCCAAATGGCAGCCCTCTGGTCTACTCTACAAAATACAAAGGAAAATTATGTCTATTTGAAGGAACCATTTCAACAACTCACATTCGAAGTTGGCTGCTACAGATACAGCCATGTTCCTGTTGGAAATCCCAAGTGGCATTCTCCCTGCTGAAGGGTGACATCAGGCTCCTTCAGTGGTCGGGAACACAGAGTATCTGAGCCCTGCCAGCCTCCGTGATCCTAGTGCTCGCTGCTGTTTCTCTGACCCCACTTCTCAGTCACCCAGGCCATCCCTGTTTCCTGGGCATACAGTCCCTAGTCTATTTCAAACCCTGCACCTCCAGCCATCCTGGGTCTGGGATGCTTGACCCAGATCCACACACAACTGACTCTTGTCATGCAATCATGAGTTTGGCTCACATTCCCTTCCCTGAACAGGCCTTCTTGCCCTCCTCTTCCTGGTATATGCAGTGGCTAACAAGAGACCTCTGTAATAAGTTGAAGAAATGAACCCAGACCCATGGTTGTCCTTTGACCTCCACATGTGCAACCTAGTGTCTGTACTTTCTCTCTCTCTCTCTCTCTCTCTCTCTCTCTCTCTCTCTCTCTCTCTCTCTCTCACACACACACACACACACACACACACACAAATACCACATGTACACACACTCGCAAAGGTTTTTTCCTGTCCCTTGATTTTTACAACAAATGCCATAGTCATTGCTGGGCTAGATAATGAAGCTGGGTTCTGCCACTAAATATCTCCTAAGAGAAAAAAAAATGACCTGAAGCAAGGCATACGCCTTTGATCCCCTTGTTTTTAGTTTAAAAACAAAACAAGAAACCGTATCCTGTTAGATGCTCAGGTCCAAATCCAGGCTTGTCAAGTCCTATGCCCAATGGCATATACGATGCTGCATTCTACAAGAGTTCCTATGTCATTATCTAAACAAACAAATTATAGTCCTTATTAGAAGGCCAACTGTCTTAATGAATACGGCATAAGATGTTTAGTCCATAAATTACTTGTTCTAAAAAAGACTATTTGAGGACACAGTCATTTATGGCTAGCACACCAAGTCAATCTGAATACCAAAGACAAAACATTTTCTGGACGGCTACCAAGGTTAATAAGTTCAGCTTGTCGTAACCCACTCAGAAAGGTACAGTAAGCAACACTGGAGGCCTAATTTCTTCAGGTAATAGGTGAGATTTTTTTTAAACTGGCCACAAGTTGGGCTAACAGTGCAAACAGTTGACTCCTAATGTCAAATAAAGCAGTGGCAAATCACAAAGACTGTAGAGGGCACAGTGAGAATGTATGCCTCATCCACACAGAGCCAGCATCTTCCTCCTATAGTCACCAGGAGAAGACTTGGGCTCCCAGTCACCAGGTCAAGCACGGGCAGCCACAGTGAGCAGAGAGTAAGGAGGACCTCAGGTTCGCCTGCCCCATATCCTTCAATCCCCTGAGCCACCAATATGGCAAGCTAACAAAATGACTCTTTGGGACAGGGATTAAGCCATCCCTTTATTTCAAAATGTTAAATGGGTTCTAAATTTTTGTCATATACAGTGGTTCTCAAACTACACTTCCACAGTTGCTGTAAACCAAGGAAAGCAGGAGAATGGTGTTTTTTAAAGATTTATTTTAATCATGGGTACATGTGCCTGATTATGGGAATGTGCATGTGAACACAGGGTGCATAGGGGCCAGAAGACACTGTTGTCACCTCTGGGGCTGCAGCTACAGGCAGCTGTGAGTCATCTGACTTGGATAGTGGCTTATCTTTCATCTTAACAAAACTGGGATTATTATTAAAATATGCCATGAGTCACCATAATTATATAATGATTCTAGTGTGGCGTTTTATGTGCTTCTAGACTCCCTGTGTTGTTCTAACACAGCTGGCATTATCAGTAAGCATTATTTACAATCAACCCTTCATATCCTATGAGGTAGCTAATACTATCCTCTCTAGGCTAGCCAGGTAGGAGACAAAAGACAGATGAGCCATAGGGGTTGGACTTTCGCTCATTAGCAGAGCCCTTGCATGGGAAGTGAAAGGCCCTGAGGTTTGGATCCTGGATCTGATGAAGAAATAAAAACAGAAAGTCATGAGGAAAAATGGAGAAGCATTATAAGGACACAGGAAGTTAACCAGGGCTCGTTCCATAGCGGCCAAAGACAAAGAAGTTTTAAGAAAGAAAAGCCTCAAGAGGAGTCCAAGATGTCACCAGCCTTCATGTGTCTGGCTGGACATGCCAGGTGGTTTAATCAAATGACTTCATTTAATCCCCAAGAGCCACCCAAGAGATTAGCACACACCCACTAGCCAATAGGAGGAAGGGTAATTAAATAGTTTTATTATTCATTCAACAAGTATTTATTAAGCATCAATTATGTAGCATAATCTAGATCAAGTGCTGGGCAGCGCATAAAAAGTCTACTTCTAGAGAAGCTGCATTTCCTTTTTAAGATTTATTTCTGTTGTTGTGTTTTGCCTGCATGTGTGTCTGTGTTATTACATGTGTGGCTGGTGCCCAGAGAGGCCAGAAAAGGGCAACGGATCCTCTGGGGTCGGAGTTACTGGTTGCTAGCTGTCATGTGGGTGCTAAAAATCAAACCAGGTCCTCTGGAAGAGCAACCAGTGTTCTCAACTGTCAAGCTATCTTTCTAGCCTGGGGGCCTGTATTTTCATGAAAGGAGAGAGGACATAAAAACTGAATAAGCCAACAATAACCTATGACGCACCAGATGCCAGGATCTAAGGAGAAAAGGAAAACAAGACACAGAAGCCAGGACTTGCAGAAGATCGGGCCAAGTGCCCACAGCCAGACAGTGCCAATCACCCAGAGACAAGGAGAATGACAGCCTGAGTTAAGAGCATTAAAAGGTCACGGTGAGGAGGAGAAAGACTCAGGAGTTTTGTTGGAAAAGCTCAGTAGCAGCTGAGGAAATGAGAATGCCACTGCATTCAATTCCCCCTCCCTCACACCCGTAAGACAATGATCCAACCACGTACAATCCTGCCAATACGTGATACCTGCTCCACGCTGAAACTCTCCATTCCGTTACCACTTCCCTCCATCACAACTACAGGCAAAAGGCTTCATGCCTCCATCAAGCCCGTGCTCCCGGGAGGCAAAGACGAGCAACACAGAACACTCTGCCAACTCCGTCACAACTTTGATCCCTAGCCCAGACCTAGGCCACGGTCATGCAGCGTGGACTCCTAAGAGCCCAACAGCGGTCCTCAATCCTGACGCCTCATCGTTACAGATACCATCACTGTGGCCGCAACACTACCAGTCGCCACATCATTGCCACCATGAGCATCTTTACCACCATCAGCAGCATTGCCATTACAGAGAGCATCTTCACTAAGAGCATCCCAAGCAATACCTCCAACGCTACCTCTAATATCACACAAGCGATACATCCCACCATCACCCAAACATCAATACCACCACAAGCGGTACCTGCGACATCACGATGAGCAGTATCACCACGGTTTCCACTGCGTTATCACTATTGGCATGCTTCTGCCATCAGGCACCTAAAACACCTCTGTCACCATGAAACAGCAAATAAAAATGCCAATACTCAAAACCACTCTTCAATAGAAAAATGCAGAAGTAATTACGGGCTGATATTAAAACGGTTTCTGCCCAGAATCTGCACTTGTGAGCGTGTGGACAGCCATTGAAGGGCAGCAATAAAAACTGGCATTCCCAATTTGCTGGATCCCTGAAACACGAGCTGAGTCAGGCTGCAGGGCTGGGCCCCTCTGGCGAGGTGTACAGGAATTCAAAACAGCAAAACCAATTAAGCATTAAAATATTTTTCTTGGCCCCAAGACAATGCCAAACCACAGGATGCAATCGTTTGTGGAAGAAGGGTTGTGCTTTGACTCCGGATTTTAGTCTCAAATCAACATTTTAACTTTAATTAGTAAATGGGAGAACCCTGTCTCAATCAACGAAAAGCTTCCATGGAGCCAGTGGCTCACAGAAGCTGAAGTCCCCTAAACTATATCTCGTTCAAGCCCAACAGTCAGTATGTGACTAGTGCTTCAATTTCTTACCGCAAATGACCTGTTTATCTGTCCCCTCCTCTCCACACTCCCCACCTCTACTGCCATCTTAAGCAAAGCTACTATCATCTCTCACTGGAGTAACAGGGGTCTCCTTCTGGTCCCCCTACTTTTTCTTCCCCAGAGCATGCCACACATAAGATCTGACCACCCACTGTTCTCTGTCCACTGCAAAGAGTACAATCCTAAGACAATCTACTAAGGATTCACTGGGGGTTGTTTAATGAGTTAGACAACATGGCAGGAAGAGTAAAGGGCCATCCTCTAACAGTGTGAAGACTTCCCAGTTCTCCCACTCCCCCGTTCTCACACTGTCTCATGACATCGGAAGGAGTGAACCTGGTGCACGCCTTCACCCTCCACTCATGCCAGGCCCCATCTGTGCTGTGGTTACGAGGGCATCCCTCCAGCTCCGCACACTCACTGAGCTCCTTCCAAGCTCATGCCTTCAGGATGTCCTTGTGCCTACCATGCTCCTTGCCAATCCTCTTGGTCTCTGAATGAACTCATTTATCCTTTAGATATCATGCATGCCTCTCCCAAATGTGTCTTCATTTTATACAACTTGTTGTGTAGACATAGGAAACTCCCCAATTCATGATTCCATATCTTCACAATCATTTAGTAGTCGTTTACTTTTGATGGTAAGCTCTGTGGGGCAGGAATCATGAGTTTTGTTCAACATTTGTCCTTGCTGCCAATCCCAGCACAGGATACAGAACAGGACGTATGCATATATTTGATAACCAAGTATTCGTCTCAGAGTCCTGCACAGCTGTCAATTATGATCAGTTGTCAAGTGTGCACAACCCAGGTTCCTTCCTCTCCCCGAGGCACACCAGCAAAACCTACAGGCTGCAGTGACTCTCACTTCCACAAGCAAGTACATTTCTTCCCTGAGAAGACTAAGGACCAGCCAGCACCTGACTAATCCATACTTCAAAGAACC